ACAAGCTGCTGATTATTTCACATTTTACTTGTGAGCAACGGCACATTTAAATCTTACAAATATAGTTATTTGGCTTATATCGTGATGGATATCGTTATCGCCTGAAATGAAAAAAACATATCGTGATATGAAAAAATCTCATATCGCCCAGCTCTATTTGTGGTAATCTTTATTATGTCTTCACTGAGATATTTGAATGCTAATCAATAAAAATGAAATCAATCAAATCAAAAAATGCGATGTACCACTTTTTATTAGGTTTGAGCTCAAAAGAAGATTACTGGGTTAAAAAAAAAAAGAGAGACAGAGAGACACAGATGGACTGAAGAAATGAAAATGGTATGTGTCAGTTGAATCTGTCTCCTTTAGCATTAGCTTTCCAGTTAAACTTACCTCTGACTCCGAGTCATCATGGGAAAGAGCTCTTCTGTATCGCACCTTGCCGTTCCCCCGTGAGTCCTCTTCCCTCTCTTCAAGCTTTGCTTTTGTCCTATGCTTCTTCATTAGGAAATTATCTACTACCCAGAACATTAGGGCCTACGTGACACAGAAAATACAGGTGGATGATTTTTCTACAGAACTGATTCAAGTGGTTTTTAAAAATCCACCAAAACTAGAGAAACAGCTTTTACCTTTGTGTGCATGCAATACAATGGGCACTGATGATTTTGGTAACCAATGACAATGTCTCACTGCACGTTAGTGACACAATATTATCGCAGTACTTCACTCACTTCATTCATGTAATTGTGACTTGTAACATTTTTTGATTTGTTGAGTAACATATATTGTGATTTATCACATTGTTTCAACTACAAACTAGGTCCTCAAATTAAACAATTTTTCTTCCACCCCTGCTAGACATGTAATATTGGTTTTGCAGGAGATGTAAAATTCAGACAAAAAAAGAGAAGAAAGATAAGATAAGGGCAGACTTACATTTACGAAGAACGGAACGATGAGCATAACGATGGCCAGTTCCAGGGCAGGATTGTGTATAGGCTTGAGGAGTGCCAGCTGCCACACAAACAAACACAACAAGCACAAATATAATGTTGCACTTAGTGACAGCATTAACTTTTGATGGTTAAACATGCAGCCCATAATATTATTGTACACTGACAATATTATAGTTTTAAATGGGGTCGGGACGGGTCTGTCATATTCAAGCGAAATATAAGCAAATATAAGCAAATGTGCGGCATTTAAGAAAACAAGCTGAATGGAAAACAGCTGCTGCAAATACAAAGGAAAGAAAGAGGAAAGCTGGCAAATCTGCAGACTGTATAGTATGCATAGATAGGCATCAATGAGGCATCATCCCTGTGCTGTAAATCGCGGTTACTACAATTACAGCAGTATTACCGTTAAATTAACGTGTTGCAGATAAACAACCTTTTATTTCTATTTTTTTTAGCTGTAACCCCGTGGTTTTAGACCATTATTTCACGCACAGACTAAAATGAAAATTACTGTTACTTTAACCGGACACAAAACCACAGAACTACTAAATTTTTTTTTTAAATAAAAGAGGCGAAGACGCCAAAAGATGCTCTCCAACCTTGGATGTGCTCTGCTAGCTAGCACGTTAACGCTGCTGTTATTCGGTGAAATCTGGAGGAGAGGCCACATTTTTACCTCACTGCCGTAACGACACTTTACTCTGAAGGCTTTTTTTTCTTTCCCAACAAGAAGAACTTTTCTATCATGTATAGAAGTTGTCAACGACCGACGCTCATAGTGAGACGAGGGAAAGGCGGATCCCGCACGTAATTTGCGTAGCTTACGTAGTCACCGCATGGCCTGAGGTGCGTTCATCCCCCCCCCAACACTGAGGTCTCAAATAATCAGTGCGCCACAATTGCTAAAGTACAGCACAACAAACTGTTTTGGGCATGAAAAAACTGTCTCTGGAGGCCCAGTGGTTAGGAATTAATGCTTTCAGTGCCCCTGGGTCAAGTCCAGCAGGGGAATGAATGCAATAGTTTCTCAATTAAATGCAAGCTGCACCCTGGGCCAGGAACAACTGCTGCTCACACCACACAGACTCTGTTGGCTCTGCAGATGTTTTCAAAGGTAGTACTGAAGAACCCAGAGTGAAGTTAAACCCGAGTGTACACTAACCCCAGTCAAACTGCCAGAGGCTGACCTTCAGCAGGTAACAAACACAGTGATGGATTACAGACTCTTTTTCTAATGCTGCAATATTAAAATCACAGTTAAGTGCTCTTTGGACAACTTGCTTGGCTGTCAGCTTTGTGCTCATACTGAAACACCCAAAGAAAGATGCTGTGTGTCCTCATCATTTGTGAGATTAATTTAATTATTAAATGGTAATTATGTAAGTGTATTTCTCAATGTGAAAGTAAAACTGTTAGTAGCATAACAAAATACCTTCTCCAGGGAGTACTTAAAAATATAAATCATTACTTACAAATGCTTTTGAGTAATGACTCAGAAAATGCTGTTTAAGTGTGCCTTATTGTATACACAGTGATGTAGGACCAAGGTTATTATTGTTAAATATAACTAAATAAAACCTGAAACTATATAAATATAAAAACTACACATTTGAAAAAACTAAACTAAACTAAAATATAGCACAAAATTTGTATTTGTTGGATTGGTAAAAAAAAAATTAAAATTAAAAGTTGCTTCATGAGGTTTAATATATTATTTACTGAGACTTGATGTCGACAACACTGAGTCAACTGCTTTCAAAAAGTCTTTTTTTTGTTTTTTTTTTAATATCTGTACTGATTTTTGTAGATCTTACCACTGACATATGCCCTCCAAACAATAATTAATAAAGACTAAGACTGAAATTAACATGAATTAAACTAAAACATTTCCAAAAAACTAAACTGAAACTCTGGAAACTAGCTGAACCTAAACTAAATTGTAGAAATTACAAAAATATAATAACTCTCTATAACCATGCTTTACTGTATTTACACAAGTTTTCTGGGCATCATCTTTGTGTACTAAACTTCCCAAATTACTCCTAAACAAACTAGCACAACACCCACCAAAACGTTCAGGTGTAGAAAACAGGACCAGAGCAGCATGCCGAGTGAGAGGCAGGGCTGACCCGTGTAAAGTGAATTTACCTCGCATGTATAGTATGATCATGTACGAAAAACACACTCTTCTACTGACCTGCTTCCACTGGGGGATGAGGAGGACCAACATGATGAGGACTTTCTCAAACATCATGATGAGAATGTAGAGGATACACTGCCCCAGCCACGCTGTGCACTGCACTGGCTCTCCTGGGGAGACAGATGATTGTCTAAAACCATGATTATGTATTTCACACACACACACACACACACACACACACACACACACACACACACACACACACACACACACACACACACACACACATATATATATAGTACAAAAATATTAGATATCACTGCTTTGGTGTTACATAATTGCCAACAGAACAAAGTAAAGCATTGAAAGGGTAGGAAATGGCACTGCAGCGCTATAATAGCAAGGGCAGCTACTGCCCTCCACTGGACATCACAGGCACTGTCCTCACCGTATTCTCCAAAACGCAGGGAGTCCCATTGCCTCCATTCTACAATAGCACTGACGGCTTTTACCCCTGCATAGATCAGCAACATGCCCAGAGAAGCATCTAACAAGAAATTAATGAGGTATCTGGAGGGAAAATGGAAAATTAATGTGAACTGAGTGTCTACAAAGTTAAATTATCTTCATTTTAAAAAGATTACTCTGATTTATCAGAGACATCCAAATACTCACAATGAGCAGGGATCCTCCTCTGTGAGGTCCGACAAATAGACATTAGCAAAGTGGATGAAGAGCATCCCAATTGCCTGTTTTGAGGTGTCCAGAAACCTGCACATACACGCTTACGTTACTTCCAAGGCACTCCAGTGGGTCTCATGCGGTTTCTTTGCATAGAAATTAATTTAGCGCTGGCTCGATTCCCTTACCAGATCTTCCAGGGTCTCCTCTCATGTTTGGGCTCCCTGAAGCGCTTCACTGTAGAGGAAAGAGTGCCACACAGATAGTGGGATTTTGCAAACAGAGTTGCACACATTCAAACATTCTCTCTTGTTTTCATTAAACAAAGTTACCCAACCCTCCTCTGAGCCATCAAACCTCCAGTGAGCATTTTATTGCTTTCGTATATGAATACCGGCTTATTCTAAGACTCTTGCCGTCGTTGCCCTGATATCAGTCAATTAAGTGAACAAGCGAGAAATCAAAGAGTTTCTAATCAAGCTGACATGAAACTACTAGCTATGAGAGTTTAAGTGAAAGGGAATGGATGCTTCTTTCAAAATGTCGCAAAGGGAGAGAATCAATAAATCAGTGTTAGAAGGAAAACTGTTCATCTAGTCTGCCCAATTTAAAGATACATGAAATAAAGTGGTACAAATTAAGCTATTAGTGAACTGTTTGCTAAGCACTCCTGCTGGGTAACAAACACTAAAGCCACTGTATGTGTGCATCGGTGTGACTGTTATTCTGGGAAGCAATCTGCTTCACTCAAGTCTTTGCTTTAAGGCTCCATCATGGAAAGTGGACATCAAACTACCTCACTTTTGTAAACTTAAACTAAATGTTGTTGTTGCTCTGTCCAAATATATACTGAGGGCTGCTTTTTACGGAAAACGATGAGCTCAGTTTGTGCTCCGAACGAGTGTGACTTCATAACCAACACACCCCACTTACAGCTGGGTGTGATGTGAAGGCAGACAGAGGCCTCTGCTTCCTCCTTCTGCCCAGAAAAAAACAAACAAAAAAAAAAAACTACTCACTGCTGCGAGGCTGCTGAGCCACATAAAACTAAGGCTTCTCTCATTAGGTCACACAGCTGCCAGTTTGGTGCCAGACACTGGCTGAACCCAATCTTCTGTGCCAGCGTTTCCTTGTCTGTGTTTATGGACATTTGCCTGCCAATTTCTAATGTAAAGCTACCTTAGCCTGAGGTGTAAAAAGAAAAGTTTTACAGTCTGTCCACATGGAGAAGTAAAAGAAGATGAGCTTAATGACAACAAGCAACTAGAGACAATCTAGCGAACAGTCTCATGCTGCAGTAGGTGTCACCAAGATGACATTTAGCCATCACGAGACAAGGACAGCCAAAGAAAAAAGAAAAACTAGATATAGTGTTGCACTACAATCTATGTTGACTACATAAGACAGCATGTTTGATAAGGTTTACTACATGTTGTGTGTGTGTGTGTGTGTGTGTGTGTGTGTGTGTGTGTGTGTGTGTGTGTGTGTGTGTGTGTGTGTGTGTGTGATGCATTTATAAAACTTTTCAGGTGTGTAGCTGAGATCAAACTAAACGTCCAGTCTGAAGAGGTGAAGTGAACCATGAGTGCTCAGTAAAGGACACTAAAAGAAGGCAATCAATGGGGTTGTCCTGCCATTTCATACCCATGCCCCACATTTTAAGTATTACATTACTGTAAGTATTATTTCAGTATTTCTAACTCCCAGTATGAGAGCTCTCTGAGTTATAAAGAGATTTATACTTCGCTCTTAACATCAGACCCATTAGGAAGGACCCTCATCATGAAATTAAATACAATGCTCATTATAAATGCAACCTTGAAACAAGATTGGTTCAGGTCTGGGTTAATGATGACTGCCACCGGTTTGTGTTGACCAGGAAGGTGCTGTTGGAAACTATGCTACTGCTGCAGACAAATGAGAGGAATGTTGTTGGACTCTGCACCATTGCACATATTATTGTCTGTGTCATGTTGCAATTGTGCGTCTGTTCTGTTTACATTGAGAGCTTATGTCAATAAAGCTAATTCTGATTGTGATTCTGAGGTCGTGAGAAGAACAGAGAATGTTTACAGATATAGAGAAGAGGGACATGCACAGAGGCGAGGGAAAGGGTGAGACAGAGGCAGGTGATCCAGTGTGGCAACCCCTAAACAACTGAAAGAAGAAGTGTTTTGAAAACTCAGTGATACTTCAGTTTTCAAATCCTGTTTAAGATGATCTCTCTAAATAGTTTATTATTAATAATAATAATAATAATAAGATGATTTCTACTTCTGAAATCCATATATGCTAGTTGAGACAAAGAAACCTCATTAGTGGCTGTTACTGTGAAGCACCTACAGGATATATAGAGTGACCATCACTTGAGATACAGCACTTTATTTAAAAAAACATATTCTGAAACTACTTAGGACAGTTTTCTATCTGCACATCACCCAATCAAAAGAAAGCAACATTTTATATCTTTCTTCCCCACTGCGATTGCTTCCTCAACTGACTGCCAAGCAGAAATGTGAAAACTACAGCCACATCCAAACAAAGTCATTTTCATTTATTTTTGCAAAGTTCAGCAGTATATGGAGTACATGCAGCACGAGACGTCAAATGTGCCAGGAAATGCAGAGGGGAAGTATCTTTTTTTTTTTTTTTTTTTTTTTAAATGATCAACACAGCCAAAAAAGCCCCAACAAGTGACTCTAATTGGTATGCTGTTACAGTGAAGTGAAACCCCTGCATTTAGATTTACACGTATTAATGTCGTTTGTCTGACTCTGTATAGATTTACCTCAACCCTCCCAGCTGAAATCAATATCACATTTGATTATCGGAGTGTTGCTATTGGATGATACCCGCTTACATCAGCAGCTGGTGTCAGATATCTGACACAGCAGAGCATTAGCCATACTTACACATGAGCGTGCTGAAAGCCATCACAGCGAGAAGACCTTGCAGGAAGATCCCAAAGGAGTCCATCAAGGCGCCGTTCTCGCACCCCCGGTTATTGGGATCTGGTGTCGGTGTAGAAGACACCGATGTATTGGTAAGAGACACCGCGGGCATCCCTGCTCCTCCTGGACCAGCCAGTGCCACCTCTCCGTGCTGGGACAGCATGTTGACCCCGCTTGCTGCAGCCATGGGACAGAAGATCTGGACGTGACTAATTAATAAAGTGAAGAAAAGCAGCAGCAGCCGCTCGGACCCAGTTCTGTTGCGAAGTTGCCGGTCAGCTAATCGATACGCTAAGCAGGACAGTCTTCGGTGAAAGATGGTGACATCCTCTCCATTGAAAGCTCGCACTCATTCTCCTGCTTCAGGCATCCATGCAGCCATAGCTTCTTTGTCACTGGACAAGTGAAGCCGTCGGCGCTGGAAGTTGCAACGACGTATAGCGTGGTCCCAACTGAGCCGTGTACACAGTTTAAAACGGCAATGCAACACTAAAAAGAAAAGCTAGTTTAAAGGTACACACACACAGTGGAGCAAACACTTCCTAGGTCGACCTGGAATCTTCTAATCTGGGAACTAACATCAGCAACAAACATAAGCCCGGCTAAACAGCAAGTGTTTAACGCGTTATACGGACATGTCAGCCACTCGGAGGTAAATTTCAATTGATGGGGAAACCGTCCACCGTCTAGCGACTGAGGTGCTGCTATCGTTATCTACCTAGCTAGCCTCGGAGCGAACTACTGAGTTCAGTTAAGCAAAAGCTTTCAGACAAAGTTATACTTCCTGTAAGGTTTAAAACGGCGCATGTACCGGCATCTCGTGACAGTCGCGCACAATACCAGCTCGTCTGTTTAAAAAGTACAGAAAAATAAATGTGAATAACTGCAGGTCACAGCTCCCGTCTCTTATCCAGCTGCTTCCCCTGCCCAGCAGTGCCCACTCATGTTGACAGACGCTGGGTCACGTGGCGCGCACGTAGCCACAAAGTGCATGCCGGGAAAAGAGGAACGAACACGAGTCGCATAAAAAGTGTTGTTCAGCTTTTATTGCAGTGTTGTCTTTAAATAGCAGTGATAATAATCTTCAAACGAGGCCTGTGCTATTGTTCTGAGCACAAGGGAACTACGAGAAAATTAGTAAACACATAAACATCACACAAACTGAAGAACGTTACATCAAATCGCACGACACGGACTGGAAAAAAACGAGGGGAGAAACGACTTACAAAAGCATGTTAAGAGTATCATCTTGCTTTAAAACTGCCAATTTCATTTAGCATTAGCAATTAAAATAACCCATTGCTGTTAAAAATGATTATCAACTGTAGCTAAACTGACTCGCATCATATACCCAATATTGCAAAGTTTAGACCTATTCTGTGCAAATATATCGTGTTGTTTGGGCATTTACACATATGCACAAAGACGATTTTTTCCCCCCCCCTTTCAAATCACCCTGTTGCACTAGAAGATATTTGAATATGTACACTATATACAGACATGCACGTGTCATAATTGCATACCACCATGTAGTGCATGGTTTTGCTTGTGCTTGCAGTACAAAATCATTTCACATATTGAGACTTAAACCAGAGAGCCATAGTCTCTTAAGATCAAGACCCCATTTTACATTAAACATACAAATTTGGCATAAAGTATTCCATCTTAAAACTAGCAACGGATCTTGATACACATGTTGCATGTTTAAAATAAAATCTAATGCAGTCCCTGCAATGACTCAAACTATCGCTTCACAACTGGGCAGCAGACTCTTTGCATCATCTAGTTTGATTTCTGAAGAAACGATTACTCTTTTTCTTTAACTAATACACCGAAATACATTTTTGAAGACACTTTAAATATTCTCCACAGAAGTCACCAGATCAGAAGGCAGTTAATCTCACTTATTACTTAGTGAGATTATTACTTACTTATCCCATAGTATTACAATTTAAAAGCTTTGATCCTGTGGTATTGCCCTAAGCGAACTGCAAAGTATGATTAAATAGAACAAGAGTTCTAGAAGTGGCGCTAAGTCACTTTTTAAGTGGGTAAGAAAAGGGGGAAAACAAAAACAAAAAACAGGTTCACAACACTCTGAAGATACAAATTAGTCAAACAGCATTAATTAAAATAGATACAGAAACCAAGCTCTTTTCTCTTTTTAAACCTAAAGCAAGTCCTTGGTGATGGTTTATTTTGATGTCAAAATATGTTGAATTTAAGGAATTTATACTTATGTGTCTTTACATTTATTTGTGCCATCAAAGAGCCACAAGTTCCTTCCTTTGGGTCTTCTACTTTCTCAGCTGTCTTTCCCCCTCCCCAAGGATCAAGAAATGTTGCTTCGTCTATCATGTCCACGCAGGTTGTGGAATAGGAAGGATTCTAAATGAGGTCCAGTGTTAGGGGGGAACCCCACCCCCCTAAAAAAAAAAAAAAAACAACCCATTGATTTTGAATGGATTAACACACAGAACAGGGTGCAGTCACATCCCACATCTGGTCCCCCGTCAGCTACGTAGCAAACTGCTGATAAAATGCCAGCTTGACCCGCTCGATGTGGTGGCACAGCTTGATGGCCGGTCCCAGCTTCAGGTCCATACACTCTTGCACTGTCGGGAGGTTCAGCAGCAGCAGCGCCTGTCCGTCAATCTCCTGCCAACACACGAGTTCATGTGAGATGCATTCTATATATAGCTTGTTTTTGGGTTAACACACAAGAAATGTTAAAATGTTTAAATTTCTAACCATGGATACAGTACAAGTGTATATATACACACTTATTGCACTGAAGCAGAGTGAGCTCTTATCCCTAATGGCCACGGCCATTAAGTCTGAGTATTTTTCATACCTGATCCAAGAAAATCCTCGCAAGAGGCGCACAGTCAGTGGTCCTGATAAAGCGAACCACATCAGTAACGCTCCACTCCAGGGGGCTGGTATCCAAACACAGTTTCTGAGGAGGCTCAGCTTTTGGCGTCTACAAACACATAGACAGTGTGAGTCAGACAGACTGAGATTTCCCTGCCAAAGACAAAAGGCTCGCAGCTCATTTTAACCCTTGCAATTGATGCTGAGACGGGTAGCAGACCTAAACCTTTCATTAAAGAAATAATAGCTGTGTAAAAGCAGTAAAAGGTCACAGTCAAACAGCCATTGGAGACATTTTTGTTTCTTTCAAGCAGCATAATGGGACAGACCGTAATGCGGCAGAAACACCTTTTAAAATGTTACTAAAATGGAAATGTTAGAAAGCACAAGACATTTATTTAGAGTGCAACTGGAGGGGCAGAGCGCAGAACAAGTGGAAAATCTTTGTGAACCTGCTGAGTATTAATTACAGATACACTGCTTGGAAACATAATTAGAAATATTGCAAAGCTCCTCTCTGTAATTTTCATCACCTTTGGTGAAGGGGGGCGGTTCTCATCATCAGAGAACGAGGGGGAGCGGGGTTTCCGGCGTCTGCGTGTCGGCCTGGGAGTCGCCGGCGGGGAAGGGGACGGTGTGGTGGGCTGAGATTTCCCAATTGACTGCTCTGAATCATCCTGGAGATCGTCCTGCATCTCAGAGCCAGAGTCTTCACTCAGGGAGTCATCCTCATCTAAATCTTCCTCCTCCCCACTGCCCTGTGAGCAAAAGGATGACAAGCGGTCACTTCACACAGTTCGTTTAACCTAAAGCTTAATGCAGAAGTAACATGAGTTCTGGGGTACCTGTGGAGAGCCGGCAGGTGTGTTGTCAACGGAAGCTGATGAGCGTCTCTTTTTATGGACAAAGAGCTGCTTCCTCCTCTTCCTCCTCCGCCCCCTTCTTTTCACTCCAGCATCCAGATTAGTTTGGCCTCCAGGTGGACGACCAACACGTTTACTCTTCTTCTTTCCATAGTAATATGCTGATGGTAAAACAACAAACCTGTTGTGTCATTATCATGTTGCATCTGGCATGTCTTATAGACTTGAATACACCACTGAAACAGATGGATATTAATCTGACTCTAATGCTTGTATTCTTAAACGCTCTCTATAAGAAAAGCACTGATAAACAGGCTGTTCAGTAGGTCTGAATGAGATGAAAAAAGAGAAAGCATAATCATTTGTCTGTTGCTATTGAATTGCATCAGTTAACCACAACACTGTGATGCAGCTGCAGTAAACATATCAGCAAATCTGTGGCTTTGTGCTTCAAAAAAAAGAAAAAAAAAGAAAAAAGTTTTACACAAGATCAAAGAGGCCAACCCTGACACCAATTTTCTACCAACTCTGTGTGCTCACTGAATACCCGCTAAGCCAAAAGGTTATTGCAAAATAAATAAATAAATTTCTCAGAATATTCACATTCAAGGCACAGATCATTTCTATTCACGAGCTACACAAATGAACTGAAGGTGAATAAGCTTTGGGCAAAATGAGAACAAGTTATGGAGCCATGAGAGCACCATAAAAAAAGAAAATTGTAAAAGGAAAAAAAATATTCAGAAATTACCAAAAATAAATAAATAAA